AGAGGTGGGGGTGTCGCGGTTTATCACTTCTTTTTTTAAATTCCGCTTCTATTCATTAAGTCTCTTCTCCTTTTGTTGAAATGAAACAAAAGTAAACATCTTTGATACAACTGACATAAACTCTACTGGGAATGGTGACCAGGGCAAGGAGTTGCCCCGGTCATCACGGTCTTGATTTCAAAGTGAATCCTCCCTGTTTTTAAAACTAAAAACTAAAGCATATTCGGAGCAGACGACACCCGCCTCCTCCCTCCTACTTCTCCGATGCATCGTCTTCCAATATTGGAATTTCCTTACAAGACGTTGACCCCACATACACTTTCTGTGACCTGGCGCACTGAGGTGCGTTCACACTGTGCTTGCATTCTTGACTTCTCAAACTCCTTGTAACAATGTTTCAAAGTGTATGGGGTCCATCCTCACAGGACGTTTTCTTGGCTCACTGATCGAGGCCTCTAACTTTGAAAAAGTAGAACGCACTCCCACTGCGGGGTGCACAGACATTGCGACACTTTGAATTCAATATTGAATCATTCGAAATTGGGAGGTTGGCAAGTTTCCATTGCTAGCATTGTGCAGTTTTAAAAAGAAGCACTGACAAAGTTTGAGGCGATGAAGCACCCACGGCCGATGCACGAGCTGGGATGCAAAGAGGCATCCCTTTCAAAAGAAGGATGGGCACACCTTTTCACGTGTACGCCATTTTTCCCCACTCTTCCCAGACGTTCATGAATCAAAGAAAATGTTAACATGCTCTTTTCCTCATGAACATCTTAGATTAAGTGATATACACCCTTTCCTTCCCTACCAAACGCCCGCCTCACAGTGAATTCTTTATATTATGTATTATCTACAAACTGAATAGTACAATACTCATTTCTGTTCACCTCGGAATTGCTGACACCATTTTTATTATCCTTTTTTCTTCTTTATTTCATTGTTTTTTCCTTTCATATAGGCGGTCACAAATCACACCCAATCCTGTTATATTCTCACCTTTTAGCCTTTTTCTTTCTTCTCGATGTGTTTGTTTGTTTAAAACAGCACTGCGATGAAAGGATCCTTCTTTCCCAATTGTTCTCGACATACAATAATAATATTTTACATATCGAGTCCAAACTCGCGGACAGATCTTATTTTTATGACACGAAACATCTGCATTTTTCGAACGCGGGGCCGGGTTATGAATGAAAACAGCCAGAAGGGAAATATTCAACTTGACTTTGAGCCCGGCTCATTTCCCACGCGAGCTCTGATATCTAATTGGTATCCCGTATGGTGTCCTTAGCTCATGGTAGACAATTAGAAATCGAAGTTCTCTCTTTTCATGTTGTGGTTTCTTGGCATTGTGATAAGATTCCCAAGTGTGTGTCTCTCTCTTCGATGATTTGATTTGAATTTTAAAAGCACATTCATTTCCTTCTGCCGAAGTATGTTATAATAAACAATAACACAATAAACATTGCAAAGAAGGAAGCACAGATTCCCGAAAACGGAACTTCTGTTTGGAGCGCAACTCAAGATATCATTTGCATTTCAAATGGAACATTTTGAAAATAATGTTATTTTTTAAATAATCAATTTCGTTTCCTCTATATTCCCTCTTTATGCACTTTGTAATTGATTTGTTAAGTGCCCCCTTACAAAAATGCATTATAGATATTGATATTTGTATCAGGAACAATGGGGCATCTGTGTGAATCTTTGTTATACTAAGAAGGAAGTTTATCTTAACCCGCATGTTTATTAATGAGTAATTCGTCAAATACTAACTCGGGTCATTTGCTACTGCTTTTCGAATTCTGATGGATGCGGACGTTGTCCGATAAAAATCTGTCTGGGGCAGATAACACAGTCATTGAAATATTGTAACTTATTGTTCCAGAAGAAATGCATTCGAAATAAACATTTCCATTACTTCCCTAAGACATTTTTCTGTTTTCTTCCAAATCATGAACACAACATTTAGTTAAATAATCATACACAAACAATGAGTCAAGGTTTTACCCATTCCCGCGCCAAAATTGTTTCATATAATTTAATGTTGACATTCTATTGTTCAAAATACCTTTTTACCGGTAGTTGTTCATAAATTTGAACATTGGGTATACGCGCTTCGAGAGTATTTTACACATCCATATGATTCTTCTTGAATCAAGCGATTATTGATATCATCTAACGCCTTCCTTGATTTAACCATGGAAACATAAAGTAAGATAAGCCCATGAATGATTTAACGATACCAGCACAGTATATGTATCATGTCTGTGGGTAGTATTATCTTCCAAACCGTGTTAATAACCTCAACCACTACCGGTGTTATGTTCATGACCAGGACCGGTTCGGGGTTATATTCTTCTTATCTTCGATGAGTAAGAATGAGTGGGTTGGGTTATATTCTCATTAAAGATTAAAACACTAGTACAGGTCATGTGAATCAAACTCTGTTGAGGTTATTGTGAAAAGTTAGATACTTATTACTAGACATTTAAAAAAATAAAAAAATCTGTTTTCGTGTTTATTACGTTTTCTTTGCGTTATTAGGTTTGGCAATTATGACATCGATAACAAATATAATCAATCTTGCTGAGAAATCACATAGAGTGAAAAAGTTTTAACACCACAGAAATAGATATATGGGACTACTAATATGTAGTAATCATGATTGGGTCCAAAATAATTCAAAATTCAACATTACATGTACACATGTTTTGGAATATTATAGGGCATTTAAGGAAGCAATCCGTTTCATTTAACATTGGAACTAGTATACAGGTATGTGATATTTCTTCTACATAATAGGAATAGAAAGAATGTGAAAACCCCCACAAAATATTTCCCATCTTTATAAGAAATCGAACGTCTCTTTAAACGGTTGTAAAGAAGACAACAATGCTTTAACGGCAGGAAGGATGTGGGATTAATGTTGTTTGTATTTTTTTTCTGTTTGTACATGTAAGTGGGAAGGAAATGTAGGAGCTGGAAAACAACACCACTCCTTTTTAGGGTTGTAGTTTAACCTGTTTAGAGCAGCAAATTCTGAGTTCATAGTTGAATTTGGTTAAATATCTCGTTCAGTTGGTGTTATTCATATGACACCTTTGGTGCACCTTTGGTGTCATGCCCGCTTTATATTTGTTTTGTAAAAATTATTAATTAATTATTCAAGTTACATCCATCATAGGATATCATAAACACGCTATTGTGTAAATAAGTTGAGGATTACATCTACATGTATGTTGCAGATTTCTAAAATAATTATTTAAAAAAAATCAGTTTTTAGTGCAGACAAAAGGGAGGGGTTGATTCAAATGATTCACCATTTTCCTTTTAGAAAGTACGTCCCACAATTTTCAAACTATTCATTCCATCTCGTATGACAAAGAAACTGAAAATACTATAGCACCTGATTTTTCTTCGAACTCCGGCATAAACGCATCAAAGTCATCTTATCAAATCGATCAATCATATTTAAAAATGCATTTTTACGCTTTGAACCCCATCAAATACTATACTCCGAAATTTCAACTTATCTTCTCAATCTCCTTAATATTCATATATTTTGAAAGTTATTCAGTAATCACCTGTGCTTAGTTGCACTTTGAAGACGTCATTTAGCTTAACGAGATTAGATTACCATGTAAGGAGTTTACACCTCGGGGTTGAACCGGTAGGGGTGAACTTATCCCCCTGATTGGTTGCGGTTTTCTAACAACGGGGGTCGCCTCAAAGTATACCCACTCAGTTCAAGGCTTCCATTCATAAATTCTTAATAAGCGTGGCAAGCGATCTTTTTTCTTTCTTCTTTCTTCTTTTGGTTAGCATTGAGGTTATGATTGATGGTGACAGGTTGGTATAATTATGATTATAATTGTTTAATTCAGTCCATGTATCGGGGAAATGCTGCTTGTTCAAGAATTAGACCACTCCAGCTAGCTCAATGGAAAAAGGAATGTCATTGAGCTGCCAAACGACATGAAAACATTTCTGAAGTGCCGAAAATAATACGAGAATACCGTTTTCTTTATACCACTGGCGCGCATTAATTCAATTATGTTATCCATTCTGAGAGTGATTTATCACCCTATAAAGAAAAGAATGCCACATTTTGCACATTTTTGTTCTACAAAGTTAAACAAAAAATGATAAACTCATATGAGTTTCAGCGTCGTTGAAAGTTAGGAAAATGTGTACCGTGATTCGAAAAGTTTACTGCAATCATTTTAGTAAGAGTTTCCCTCTCAATCATTGCCTGATAGTTATATTACATCCATTATATTTGAACTCAACTTGATATAAATTAGTTATATTAATAGTAGGGATATAGGCCTAAATAATATTTGATAAACAAACATTGTTTCAATTATCACAATCTTGTTGGTCTAATGTTTAAACTTATCATGTCATCTGCCAACACCAATTCATGATGAGCAAGACCCTCTCCGCTGTTAAATCTTTGAAACTCGTGGGTTAAATTCGGGCAGAGTTCAATTAAAAGTAAATGACTCTGAGGCATATTGTTTAACCTAGGCCTATGTTTTTATAATAGGTGGATAGCTTCTTCTATCGGTTTTCTAGGAAACAAATAAAAGGATATTCAGGTATGGGTACTGTAATTTGTAATTAATAGGCTACTGTTTAAAGGCTTTTAGGTTTAATGTTGTATTATATTGGGACAGAAGCGGATACCAGCGATAGTTTTAAAAAAACATGATTTTTATAAACATCATCGTAGTTTTTAACAAATTGTGTATGATGAGTAAAAAAAAAAGTAAAAGAAAGACATTTGATTTTCCTCCTTCTTTCTCTATCTCCTCTCCACTCGCTTCCCTTTTCGTAATCACTCACAGCACTGAGATCGTATAACATGTATACGTCTATCATGCTTTCTTACCATATAGGCCCCTATAAAAAGGCTAATCATTTAAATGGGAAGCTACCGAACGCGAAATAAAAATAATTATGGAGAATAAATTGTTTCAATTACGATTGAGACTTACTTTTAAAGTGCGGATGTTTGGTCGCATAGATGAATGGGTTCACACAACTCCCTAGGAGGTATATAGCTCCAGCATAAGGCACCAGGTGGTCACTCCCTGGTATCATCAACGAGACGCTGTACGGCGTCAGGCACAGGAAGAAAGCGATCACGACATAAAACAAATTTCTCGTGATCTCAATCTGTCGTCTGCTAAAATGTTGCTTGGTTTGCTTCCTGTTTAAGTCCTGGAAATACTTATCACCCTTCTCCGCCGATTCCGACGTACGCGACATGGGCGGCGACGTCGCAACGGTGTCGGATGGCGTCTTAGGCGGAAAGGATGACGACGATGGTTCCGTTGATGACATCGATTTCATGTGACGTCGCACGTAGGCGAAGATTTTCACGTAGCAGACGACGATGATGACGAGAGGACCGGGGTAGAAGATGGTGGCAAGCATCATGTCGTAGATGTTGGCGTTGGCGTTGTCGGTGTGCTTTGGTCCGCAGCGGGTGTACTTCTCATCGAACCCGATCTCACCGATGGAGAACATAGGCGGGAAGACAGTGAAGACTGTCGGCACGATCCAGGTCAGGAGTGTCGTGAAGACAAGGTTGCGGGTTCGATAGAAGCTACGGTAGCGGTGACTAGGCTGAGTGACGAGGAATAGACGATTTAAGGCAATCGCAGCCAGGGTAAAAATACTGCATCCAGATGAGATGATGCTGCTTGCCGCGGCGATCGAACACGTCCAGTCGGCGATCGGGTACCGCTCCGTGCTCAAGACGGCGATGACGTGGAATGGCATGAGAATACAGGTGAACATATCGGCAACGCTGAGGTTGACGACATACACGTTAGTCGCTGTCCGGAGCTTTCTCGAGAGCGCGACACCGGCGATGACGAGGCCGTTTCCTAAGAGACCGACGATGGCAATCAGACCCGACACCGTGGCAAGAAAGATCCTCTCCGAGTAATGAAGGGGACTCTCGTAATCGTACGGTGCTTCCGTGACGACGAAGTCCGTTTCATTCATGATGACGTCTTATGTTTTGTGCCTTGATAATGCGAAAACAGTGACTTATCTTTGTTTATGAGCGATATTTAACCCCAACACGTTTTCAAACTAAGCTGAAGTACATTTAGAAGTGATAGGATGTATGGATGTCAAAGCAAAAAACAGTGTCTGCGATCTTGTAATCAGATAATTTCTCTCACCTGCTGATTTCCTGGTGTGACCTCATAGACTGACATGAACAAAACAATAAGCCTTTGTGACGTATACGACGCTCAAGATCATGGCAACTTAATCTTAATACATTGATTAACGTAACGTCGGTCGCGTTGCTCAGCTCAAAAAACCTGATCACCATTACTTCATTGTCAAAAATCGTCAATGTTTAACATAACTTATCATCTAAAATGTCAATCAGTTCGTAAAAAAATTCCGAGGTATGAACAAATTAATATTCCTTGATTGCTTCAGCCTCTTTTGAATCAAGGAAGGATATCGTTCACCTAATCTCAACACTCGAGTTCGTTAAGGCACGTTTAATTTAATGTCAGTTCCTCTTCACGACAAAGAAAAATATCTTTAACGTATTATGACACCGAAGGGTATGGTGAACTTCCTTTAAAGAGTTACAAATCCAAGTCTAGCTACAAAAACACATACATTGAACAAAATGTCTTTCCAGACTTCGTAATGTCATCTGAGATCGAATTACCAGAGGCGTCGAAGGTGACTTGGTGGGACCAGCAATAATCGCAATATTTCAACTTTTTTCAAGAATGCTGTCAATGTCCGCGATTTATCCTCTTCAGGGTTCGATGTCACTTCAAATTCCAGGTGTTTCCAAGAGCAAAGATGTTGAGGATGACAGCAAATTAGGGTTAATGAACCACGGTTGTGGAGCTTTCAAACGGATTCAACAAAAATCTGCTTCAAAATCCAGCTATCTGTAGCAAACTCGAGGCACGACCGATGCAAACAGGATCAGATCCGCCCAGATATATCCTGAATGTACTTTCAGTTCCTCTGGGGAGGTAATATGATACCTGATAATAGTAGGTTGACACAAATAAGGAGTAATGTATACTTTTGCGACTCAGATTGGTTAAAAACACCACTTTTAATAGCTAAGTATGTGCAGAGGATAAAACACGCAGTTTCCAACTCGAAACGATGACAGACGACGCGAAATAACCACCGATTGGCAACAACACTACAATTTATAGATTTCTATCCCCTTCCTCAAATACAAGGTCAACTCGAGCTCGTTATTTGCTACCGTGCGTCGGTTGACGAATCCTTTTGGCAATGAAGTGCTCCTTTCATTTCTGGCCAAGCCTCGACAACTGCGTCCGCATAACGCAAAGCCCGACTACAAATGCTACTACGCTGACAGACGTATTCGTCGGGATGGCTGTGGTGGTGCGCCATCACCGGTAAACTTCACTCCCAGCTGTCTCCGCGATTACAATGACTTTCTTGTAGCCCAAGAGTTCACTACGCCTACTTGATCAGCCCCGATCTATTTGCAAAATAGAAATATCCCTTGTATTCGAAATATTGTAAGGGGTTCTTCCTTGATGGCCCCCGAGGCTAAAAATATGAGAGAAGTGTTCGTCTGGAAATCACCGTGTTGGGTATCCATCTATTAAGTTATCCTTAGATCTTCCGGTTTTGTGGGGGCCCTTTTTACTCATAGTTTTCAAATTATAGTGAATCGTGGTATACGTGAGCCGCTAAAGCTGATTTCCTTGTTTTCCAAATTGATATCAGGGTTCGACTGATCTAACAAAATTACTGTCATTTTTTTATTTTAACCTCTCGAACTCGATTACATCTATTTCCGAGAAAAAAAAATCAACTCAAAGGCAATTATAGTCCAATAGAAATCATGTTCAGATTACGTAATACGTTTAAAAACACTTTGATTAAAAACAATTGATATATAGGAACTCTCTATCATCTCCGAATGATTGTTCTGTAAGTCGATGTATTACACAAATCTAGTATTGTCTTGTCCGAATCATCGATTCCATAAGGAAACAAAATCATTAACATGTCTTAAAGAAACAAGAATTTCACTATGTTGAAGTTAAAGTGACTGATATTTGATATCACGGATATGTGAAGAGAGAGTGAATCTTATTAAATGTAACAATGAAACCCCAATGTTTGTCTTTCCTGAAGATGAAGCCACGAATTTGAATCGTGACAAATAAGAAGAGAAATGCAAAGCAATTTAATAACGTTGATCCGTATATTGAACAGTATAATAGGAGCCAGTGAAAGCCTGGGAGAAACAGAGATAGAGATATAGGGCAGGGAGGGAGAGCGATATCAGAGAGAGAAAGAGAAGAAGAAGAAGAAGAAGAAGAAGAAGAAGAAGAAGAAGAAGAAGAAGAAGAAGAAGAAGAAGAAGAAGAAAAAGAAGAAGGAGAAAAGAAACACAAAGGAAGAATAAAAAGAAAAGAAGAAGAAGAAGAAGAAGAGAGAGAGAGAGAGAGTGGGAGGGGCATGTGAGGGAAGGGGAGGGGTAAGGCGAGGGGGAGCGGGTATTTAGATAGAAACAGACAAACAGAGATCAGAACTAATTCTTTTTGCTGAATTCCCAATTCACCTTGTACAAACCTGGTTTAGCGATGAGGCTCCTATATATTACCCAGTGAGAATATTTAGTCATACCTTGGCGGTGACGGAATAATCTAATTCATAAAAATCCAAGTTTTGCCGCCATAAGTAATGGGTACCCTGGATCTAATATCATATCGTTGACAGCCACGCATGATGACTATATTTACTGCTTGGCGCTGAACCATCTTTGTTCGTAAATTATTCATCGAATAAGTGTACACCGCAGGAATTTTCCCAGTTATCTTGTTATAAAACTTTTCATCAAAAAGAAAATGTACACACGAACGGTAACTATAGGCTATTTCGAGCCGATATCTAATGTAATTAGATAATTATAGATTAAGGATAATAATAGCATGCAAGCTTTAAATTCCGTTTTGCACGATATGTTTTCTTCGATTTCGTTTGACAGAAGCTTAATATGACTCCAACCAGGCGCGTACGCAGGGGGGGGGGGGGTTGAGGGGTTAACCCCCCCCCCCTTTGGTATTTTAATGTGTGTCTTTTTGAGGAAACCCCCCCCCCTTTGAGTTTTTGTTTTCTTTTTAATTAAAAAAAAAAATTATACCCATGGCTGACCTAAAAAAGGTGACCTTACCCCCTCCCCCCCCCCCCAACGAAGAAAAATGTCAAATTTTCAAATTTCGAGACAAAAAAAAGTGTCCTCTTACCCCCCCCCCCCCCCCCCCCCCCCGGCTGGCTGAGTCGTTGCGAAATTTTTGGCCCGATTTCAAAATGTTAACCCCCCTCCCCCCTTGAAAAAATCCTGCGAACACCACTGACTCCAACATGAATACTAAAAGTATGCATTTCATCTGAAGTCTTAGATTCATACATTTTATATATTGACCAACTAAAAATGACGATAATTATTCAAAAGAAAAGATGATCGAACACTTATATCATTATAATATTTAATATTCAATGGAAAGGAGGTGTATACTTATCAAATACTTCTTTCATTTTTTAGAGTAATGTCCTATAATATTTAGATGTGGAATAAATGCAACCCAATTATTAAATGAAATAGATTAAGATCAATTCATTTTGATCAGAAGTAGCCTTAAAAACATTCGATACATGCAAAATAGCATACAATGGCATGTAACTACCAAACTTGACTTTTGAAATACACACTTAACATTCAATTCTGTACCAAAAACTTCGTCTCACAAAGTTTTTCTCTTAAAATGGAAAACGAGACAGAAAAAAGTGACATTCTAACCCCTTCGAAATCAAATTTCCTCCAATTCTCTCCTGTCCCTCTTAATCATCGTAAACCTACATTCAGGATAAAGTCCACATCGAGGCGGTAATTTCAGTTGTCTTGGAGAATGGAAAGACAACAGAAACCAGAGATGCATTATAAGTATCCAGGGTTCTTTACGAGTGTATTAATACAAGTGTAATTGACTTAAGAGAGTAGTTCCGCCGTTGCCAATTTAATGCAGGCTTCCGACTAGAGATTGGTTTGAAGTTAAACAAACAGACTTGGAAATTATTTGGGGCTGAACGAATACAGGGCTCTTTTCCTTAGAAATAATGGGAGATTCATATATGAAACTGAGATGAGATGGGGTCTTTAAATACATGTTCTATATAATAGCAATCACTTCACATAAAATGTCTTAGAAATGTACACGACGAATGCCGCAAAATCACAAGAATCAAATGTATAATGAAACCAACTTATCTACCAATAGCCCGGGTCTCTAATTATGAATAGCTATAATATCATTTCTTGTTTTTGTGACTCTTGCGTGACTAGTGTAGACATCTTGACAATGGATATAACTAATTGAAGAAATGACAAAATTAAAGAAAATATTCAACTAAATGTCAAATGTCCTCAAAAATAAGGGCATCACCGGTTTCATTTTCACTTTCTTCCCTTTCTTATTCGCATTTATTTCACACGGAATCATGTTCCTTTCTATATTTTGGGTCTCTGTTTTGTTTTGTTTTGCATTTTCGTTGACGACCTTTCTGTTGATTGGAATTCATTTGTTATAGTTTTATTCATTCACAGGTTCTTTCTTTCTTGCATTCTTTCTTTAGTTATCCTTATAACTATTGTTATCTTCTTCATCATCTTCTATTCCTTCTTCTACTGTCTACCCCGTCTTACATTTCCCCACACTCGTTTATATCACGTGTAGCTCATGCCCCTTCCTATAAACCACCCCCCCCCCCCCCATATTTGTCCTTCACCCTCCTTCTTCTGTCCATGTTTTCCTATCCAATTTTTAAATGAAAAAAAAAATCACAATTTCAAAAGCAACAATGTCAAGGGCATAAAGAAGTAAACTATATACACTGCTTTTGAAATAATTCGTGCAAGATCTGGATATTCGATTTTGGAAACCTCGAAGAAATTGCAAGGTCACGCATCGGAAGGGTCATCTTTATCATTCTGAGCTGATACACAGATGATTTAGACATGGAAATTTGAAGAAAAAAAAGTAATAAACAAAAATGAGTGAGGTAGGACTGGGGAGTGAGACAGAAAGAGAAAATGGGAAAGCATTATGAGTTCAAGAGAGACGGTCTAGCTATTATCGTGATGGGAAAAAAGTGGGAAAATAAATGGTATAATTGAGCAATTTTAAGTTAAAGCCGGGTAGTCAGTGGCACAGAAACGGGGGCACAGGGGTTACACATGAATACCTCTTCATCATCGCATGGCGAAAATAGAGTAAAAGGGGGATAAGGAATAGGAAAAGAGAGAAGACAAGCTGACCCATCCTTCTATTTCCAACAATTCTCACTATTCGGTAGCTATCATCATTATCATTACATCCACATAGTAACAAGGCTAATCTATAGACCAATGTAATTTATAGTCATATATTCATCTATAAGATAATGGGCTAATTTTATAGAAAACATTACAAGTAAAAAGGGAAATAATGAGATGAAATGATCCATAAACAGTCAAAATTTAAAAAAATAAAGGGCTCGGTCTTCATTGTGGGTACTCTAAGTGCACAAAGAACTGGAACATTTAACAAAGTGTATATGCGGCATCCTACCAACTGCACCCGCCCTACTTTTGATCCCCTCCCTTTTTGTTGTTGTTATATTCACCTTGCATTAGTTGTTCAAGTGAGTTACCGAGTCAAGTCTGAGGGGTCGACGCGGAACCTCCCATATCGTTAAGATGTGATGAGTTTTGCATTGGGCGATTTAAAAAACAGACACACGGGTCTTAACGATGAACACATATGTTAAGCCAGAAAGGTTAAACGTTGGTCGAAAAGAAGGGGAAAGCGATGCGTTATTGCACTTTTTCTTATAATTTTGAAGACATCGTTCAAATCGCGTGTTATGGTGACCTTGCTCGCTAAACGCGAGAAACCCGAACAAACAAACAAAAAACAAGTGTTAAACAAGATGGATAAAAATTAAATTTACAGTCACATCGACTTGATCTTCTTTTTTTCTCTTCTTCTTCTTCTTCTTCTTCTTCTTCGATTGTTTCTTCTTTTTTGTTTTCTTTTTCATCCACACTAAATTAAATCGATTTTTAAACAGTGATAAATTTTGATTTAAAAAAAAACAAAACTGTGACTACCTATTTTCATTTTGCTATTTGAAATTTACATTATGATAACAAGGTTTAAATATCTAATGAATCACACAGACATTCTAGAAGGGAAAAAAATCTTGATTCTGTGTTGGATAACGCCATAACATTTTATGTACAAGTCAGTGTATGTAAACAAAAACTTCACTTTAAATGATTATCAATGACAGGAATTAAA